TTTTTTTTTTCATTTTCTTTTCTTTACTGTTTCCTTTTGTTTTCTTCTCTTTTTCTCTTTTTCTCTCTTTTTCTGTGCCAGATGGCCTAGTCTCTGCTTGCGTTGTGAAGTACCAAGATTGAACCAAGGGGGTGTACCTCATTCTCTCCGGCCCGTGATGGTGACTCCTAGTCTCAGTTGTTACCTCGCATAGCGCGCAGAGGGAGTGGAGGGCTCCAGAATAATATCTGTTGTTGATTTCTATTGACTTGCGGAACCCTCGGGGCCATTTATTTGAGTGTACCTTTTTAGGGTAAGTTAGCCTGCGACCACGGAAATTGACCGCGTCAAGTGTTGCATCAGTACGGACATACGAAGGTACTGGGTAGAGAGAGATCGGNATATCTGTTGTTGATTTCTATTGACTTGCGGAACCCTCGGGGCCATTTATTTGAGTGTACCTTTTTAGGGTAAGTTAGCCTGCGACCACGGAAATTGACCGCGTCAAGTGTTGCATCAGTACGGACATACGAAGGTACTGGGTAGAGAGAGATCGGAACGGGTTTTAATGTGAAGACAACAACAACAACCCCCTCGTCCCATCTGTCTGGCGGGATCCATATCGGGATCTGCCTCGAGCTATTCCTTTGTATATTGTAGTCTTGCATGTGTACCCTGCGCCATATCGCTGGTACACAGAGCACTCGTGAATCCCCGGACACACTCCCCCCATAAAAGCCCAAATTGAATACGGTATACGTTCATTTAGTATGCATTGTGCCAACGTATCCTGGGCTCCAATATCTACATATCTGTGTTGTGGAGACGAACTTGTTGCGTTTTGTCCAGCCAGAAAAAAAATAAGTTCAAGTACAGCAGTCTACAGTCTACACGGAGGTAGGTCCTGTTATCCCGGACCGTCGAACTGACACAATTTTCGCCACACCGAGCTTTCTTGCTGGTTAATAATGCGGCGCATGTGTTTTTTGTCTTGTTATGTTCTCACAGTGTCGACTCTGCAGCCATACAAAGAAAATATATACTACGAAAACCAGGGCCAACCCGGTCGCCCTGGTGGTCTAGTTGGTATCCTCGACTCCTTCTCGAGATCAGGTCAGCGGATCGAATCCCCGAAGCGAGCTTTTCTGTAGTCTAAAGTGAGTTTTTCTCTAGCTCCCGTTCCTGGCCTAGTGGATAGCGCTGTTTAGTTCATGCGTACTCAGAGGGAAGAGAGTGCTGGACTCTTCTCGCATTAAAAATCGAAGGCAAAGTACCAAAGTCCCGCAGAAGGGTAGATAGGGCCTCTGCTGTGTGACCACGGGTAGGAGTAAACGGCACTAGTGCTGTGCGCGCTGATTTGAAGTGAAGACAATAATAGTAATAAAAAAAGTACCAGATATAAGAGAACCAGGAGGATGTGCGACAATCAAAAGGAAAAGAAGTGGACGACTTCGGCTGGTCCTTGATCCCAACATAAGGAACTGAGGCTCGCCCCGACTTTGACTGTTCTGATCTGCGGGCCCGTACTGTACTTAGTTGCCAACTATAGTACTGCTGTTCACTCCACATCATAACCTACAGTCCACTACTACTACTGGCAATCCCGAAGAACAGTTTTTCAAGGTCTACACATTTCGCTGCTTCTACGCCCCCCGTGAGCTCTTTCTCGAGCGGACAGTTTTTCTGTGTTATTATGTTGTTTTCTAAGAATCTCTTTGTCGATCGATCGGGTGATGTCTAGCTGTTGGATGCTTGAGTTCCCCCTTGTTTGTGTTGTCAAACGTGATCAATAAAAACTGTCAACATTCCAGCTGGTGACATTGACAGGAGTTTGACTAGGAGGTCCAAGAGCAGAGAGTTAAGCACGTCCAAAGCAATGGCTCGAAAAGAGTTTTTCTAGGTTGCTGAGGCGTCTGTATTTGAAACGTGCCAATAATAGCTTGCTGCCTTACGTCAAAAATCCCCGGGTGTCCTCGCCTTGATACCTTCCCGCACTCTATGTGGAGTTGTTTACTGGCGTCTTGCATGGGTTGTAACTATAATACATCGCTGAATGTCATAAACCAAGAATACTTCTAGTGCGCTTGAGAAGACACCTTGGGGTCCGAAACGGCGTTGTCCCAGAGGGGTCTTTTGAAAAGAACATGAGCTGAATGTGGTGACTTCCTACACTAGACATCGCTAACAATACCCTGTCTCCACAACGGCTAAGGAGCACGTAATTGCTCGTAGACCCAAAATGTCTCTGGTGGACGGGTCTTGCTTGTATCACGCTTCGACTGCTCTGTTCATGACTACTGCTACCACCTTATCCGCCCAAGCGTACATGCGCACCCCAACCCCACCGTTTCCCCGCCCGCCCTCAGGCGAGAGCAGCTTCAGGCCGCGAACAAGACCTTTGATGGCGGCCCTGGTAGTCGACGAAGCCGGTGGTGAGCCACCCGTCCTCCCGGAAGACCCGCCGTCTCCAACGTGGTGGCCGCTCGAGGAATCGTTCACCGCGCGCGGACGGCGGTTACCGATCTACACCTTCGCGTCACAGTTCGCCGGGGAGCATGAGCTCGTGCTTTTCAATGGTGACGGAAACGACGATCAAAACCGAGAAGCGCTTTCACCAGAACAAGTCGCTGACGTCGATTTCCTGCGCGGGTTGAATCTTCAAGGGCTCGAGGCCGGCGGGGCGGCTACCGCCCCACTCCGGAGGTTCATGGTGTCTCCAGCAGCTGCAGCAGCCGGCGGAGGTAAAAAGTCAAGATACGACGAGGATAACCTACCAACTCCCGCCACGCTTGTCGCAGACCTCAAGGCGACGGGAAATTTCAAGAGCGCCATCACCGACATGGATGACGACGGCAGCGGCGCCCCCCTGCCTTACCTAGGTTACCTGGTTTTCGCGTGCGCCGACGAGGTTCACGAGGACGACGAAAATCAGTACATTTTCGCGACTTCCGAAGATTTAGCCGAGGCGATCGCGGAGGCAGAATCTGAAGTAGTCGACCCGGAGGCCGATGAAGGTGACATGGGAGCTGAAGCGTACCGTGAGATGACGTTGCGAAGCAGGGCACAGCTCACCGCCCTGAAGCAGTACGTGCTGAAGCAGCGAGTGTTCTATGTTCTGATACATACGGACCGGAGGCATGATGCTGAGTTAGCCGATAAGGATATGAGCTCTGACGTGATACTTCTGGCGCTGGGGGTGTCGCCCGCGACCGGAAACCTGGTCGGTGTAATCGCAATCCAGACGTGTCATAACTTGTGTGACTGAGTTGTATCGTACGCCGGCATCCAGCTGTGCATGGCCTTGGTATACGTTGTTGACGTGTTTATGGGTCTTGGCACGTCTCACTAGCGCATCATAGAATGCACGCACGTTCCGGCATGGTCCAGAAATTTTTCGTGTGTTTATTTGTTGCTTATCATTTGTTTGTCGTTGACATCGTCGTCGTCATCGTCGTCTTGTTCTTGTTTCGTTTGTTCTTGCTCTTGGTGGATTTATTGTTGGTCGTTGGTCTTACCTGTTCTAACGTCTAACGAGGACGTCTTTGCCTACCTATCCCAATCGGCCAACAAGCGATTCTCCGTGATGACATGGTAACCGACTCAAGCTTCAACCCACCTCAACACAAGAACGAAAAGCCTTCATCTACACCCATGGACGGCTCATCTGGGAAAAGTGACTTAAGGAAGCATGTGCAGTGCAGCGCGTCGAGTTTGTTTACATCACACACGCCACCAGAACCGGTTTTTCTTTCCTACCGCTCGTCCTCCAGAGCGACTCATGCTTTTTCCAGCACCAAAGGGTTCTCCACCTGGACTTGGGCATCTCTCGAGATCAATGACTAGCAGCGCAAGCCAACATCCACCAACCCGATAAACAACCCCCATCTCCAAGGCTGTGTATACACAGTTTGCGTGGACTCATTCGACATCAACACCACCCGCTTGGTCGTTAGTCTGCATGCCCCTCAGAGCGGCCAGCAGCTTCGCCTGCCGCCTCATCAAGGCCGCCCTTACCGCGACCTCTTCCTCCCTCTGCTCCTCGGTGTCCCCCAGACCGCTTTCTACGGCGTCACCCTCCCCCCCTACCCTCTCGTCTGGCACGCGAAAGTCATCGTCTTCGAGCTCCCAGCATAGATATTTCTCACATACTTCACGGCATGTGGCCCTGCCAGGCCAAAGGTCAAAGCCCCGTTCAGTGGCATCAGCGACAACGGCCACTGTTTGGACAACAGGTGATGGGTCGCCGATCGTGTCGTCAACATCTGAGGTCTCTGGAGTAGACCGAATATTTTCGTTGGTGCTTGCTCCTTGTCCTTGGGTTTCGTCTTTCGGTTGGATGCCTTCGCCGGCGGAGGAAGGATCCTTATCAGCGAAGCTGTCCCGCTCTTGCTGCACTTCTTCTTGCTGCGCCACCTTGCCATTGTCGTTGTCGACGTCGTTGCTCCCGTTGTTGTCACCGACGTTCTCGTTTGAAGGGGGCACAGTGGACGATGGATCAGTCCTCTGTGACTCCACGGCCAATTTGAAAGACCACCGACCGGAGGACGGCAGAGCTCTCTTCCAAGTCTTGGGCGGTACAAAGTTTTCCTGAAGACACAAAGCACCAGCCACCATTCGTGATTTGTAGAGAGGACATGTGGAGCGAGCGGTGGGGGGTGTTACTTGCGTAAGGTCCGTTGACACTCTACCGCGTGCGAGGATAGATTCGGGGTGACCTCGCAGTGTGTCGTGCCGTGTCGATGTCCTGCGTCCCTCTTGGGAGGGAAGGTGTTCCCCCTCAGGAAAAACCAGGCGAGAACAAGTATGTAGTAGGATGGCGTTCATCTCAAGATTACCATCAACAGCAACTTGCGCCAACGCAAGCTCTAAGCACGTCATAGAAACTCATGTTGGGGGCCTCGAATATCGTTAAAAGAATATGCGCTTGTAAGCATGAGGGCGGATCATGTGTCCACGTGGGCTAGTCTAATCATGCTTTAAATTAATCGTCTATATCTTTTACACGAGCAACAACAAGCCCGACTTGTTTAAACAACGAACGCTCTCATGATGGACAACAATGCTTGCTCACGGTGTGGGCTCCGAACGCTCCCGAAGGAAACGCCTGCATGAGAGCCGCCTTTCCAATATGCATCGGAATCCGGACCAACTCCATCACGGCGGCCGCCACTCGCTTCTCGTCGGGACGGTTGAGATTTAACCGGAATGTTCCGTCCGGGCGAAATGGGTTGAACACATTTAGCCATCCCAAGGCGTCTCCTACTCGTACCATGTCCTCGTCGGGGAGCTTTCCACGGCACGGACGAGGATTGAAGGGAGATGGGGGCTAGTGATTCGTTGTCTGTCTTACGAATCAACACTGCCCGCTGTACCAGTGTGGATATTTATCGCAGTCGGGTCTGTGTAGACTACTCGAGTCTAACCTGCTCAAGCTTTCGGAACCCTGAACATGAGCCGCCCCTTCCAACTGATCATCACGCACCGATCATAATACCATGACACTCAGAGACTAGGGAAACGTCGGAGGTACTACAGCAGTACCGTTCGCGCAAGGCTATGGACAGGGATTGAAGTACTTGACGCCGCCTGAGACGACGTGCCATCCGCTGGCATCCGTTGATGTAGCGCACGGGTTACTGTCGGGGACATGCTAAATCCGACATAATGCAAAGCGGATGGTCTACGTACAGCCACACACAGATATGTTCTCCGTGGTGCCGATAGCTCCAATTCATAATGACTTGTTTTAAAGCACTGAACAACTTGGGGAGAAGATTTCCCCAAGCGCTGAATGTGTAGCACACGAATTAAAGGGGCACGTCCGCCGGAGGAAAGATGGTCCACACCTGGTGGATGACGCGGTGAAAGTTCTCGCGGTCTGTCAGTCTTCGAAACAGGAACACCACGGCTTCCACTGGATCACAGGGGTTTTCCTTGTCGTGCTTAGAGTGGTAACGTTTTCAAGGTAGGGACCGTGACAGGGGGAACGAGGGAGCGATAAAGAGGTGGGCAGACAACAAGCAAGCGGGAAGATGGGAGGGAAGACTCGGGACTTTTTAATTGCCAACACAAAACTCAACACTAGGGAGACGGGATGACAGGCTGGGCCACAGCTGAATAATCGTTTTGCTACCCACACGGTGCCGTGGGCGACAATCAATGCCGGACCCGTGGTGAGAACACAACGGGGCGATGGGTGCTGCTTTGATGACAAAACGGTCAACAAACTGGTGCGGCGTCACCTTGAGGGCGTAAAAGATCCTTGCTAGTTGGTCGGTGGAGAGCCAGATTCCTGAAGAAAGCCTCCTGAGCGTCGGTAGCCGCCTATCGGCCAACTCGCGCACCATTAGCAACCTGCAAAATGTTTCCGGATGTAGACATGGATGGAAGGGGCGGGTCATCAATTTTGTTATCTGTGTTCGTTGTTTTGGTGGAATTATGGTCGGGCTTGAACAGAAAACGGGAAGGGAAACGTTGTGTGCCAGTGGTGCCTGCACTATTAGAAGCTCGTCATTGTCGAGCTTAGGCATTCAGAGGAGGGCGTTCAAAGGGTTTGGTGGCCATCGGACATGTCACGAAGATAATCAGCGACCGAGGTCATACCTAGTTCGGGCAGCTGCACTTAGGTCGTCTTCGGCGTGAGCGGGGGATCTTCCTCCTTGCCCTGGACAGATGCGAAACCTTCAGAACACCGAGTCGTCGCGTACGTCGACTATGTGCTACAGGTATCTTTCCAGTCCCTCTTTCCCCCCTAAACGTCCTTTGTCCAACGGGTTGTTTACCTCCACACATTCGCGAAATCCTTCTGGTCAAGCTGTTGTTTGACCTTAGCTTTGCCACCCTCGCCTTCGTTGTCCGCCCCATCTTCCTCCTTGACATTTGCTTCATTGGTGCTGTTGCCCGTGCTAGTCTCAATCTGGTTGTGCATGTGCCAGATGAAAGATCGCGTGGCTTTAGTTCACCTGATACTGATTCTGCAAGCATCCGCTTTAGCTTGTACCGATATGCTGAGTTGAAGATACACACGGCCCACGCAGGCGGGTGCTGGAATACAAATGAGTGGTTTTTCAAGGCAGTGAGCAGTAGATCATCGATGATGTGTCTGCCCGACAAGCCGCACATAGCCGGTGGAAGCTAATATCAGTAGTTGGATATTGGACGAGCTTCCTTGTATGCATGGCTTCTCGATCCCGTCACCCGAGTTGGGGGAAAGTACGACAAATGCAGGCCTAGTCGTCGAATCGTCATGTATCCAATACGTATGGGCCAACATGAGATATCCCATCAGAGGAGGGATGCACCATGCGCGCGCAAGAGGTGTGTGCACGCAATGGGTAACAAGCATCCTGACTGCACTCTGAGTGACGGCCGACGACATGCTAGGCCTTGGCAGACCTTTTGTTGGTCTCCGCTCTCGCTGTCGTCATCCACTTGGTTGGCACCACCCGTGTTGTTATCGCCGTGCTTGTCATCATCAACCGTAGCAGACGAGTCTTCTTCGTGCTGGATAGTCTGGACCTCGGCGATGGCGTCACGGACCTGACCGTTCATGAGGGGGCGGTCGTTGGGCCCCAAAGTTTAGCATGAGTGGCAGCACATAGTTCTGGGATACTTCATCCCATCTCGAATGTCATTTCTGCCTGAAGGTCAAACCTGTGCTTGAAGGACCCATGACATGTCGCCGACATTGGCGTAACCCTGCAACGCATGTCGTACACACCAGCCACCCAGTAGCGTTCTCTCAACGCTTGTGTTTTTCTCCAACATATCGTCAAATCGATGTTAGCCAGGACCTTGACACCAAGAGAAGCCTGTCGTTGAACGAGAAAGTCTAGTCTGCCACTGTGTTAAACGAAACGTTCGACTTTTCGCGAATGGATGGCGGCTCGCAGACGCGGTGGGCCACAAGATGGGTAGTTTCAAAGGTTCAACTTTCGGTCGCGTGCGCCACACACTTGCCGATAGCCACGGTCACCATCGCTGGGTGCACCTGCTGAATGCTTGGAGTGCGCGGAAACCCTGACGTCTTTGTCATGAACGTTTGCGCGATCACGGGGTCTTGACCTCCCTGCAGAAGAAAAGAAATCCAGTTTCGGAGCAGAGGAGGTTGGAGGTAAGAACTGGAGCCTTCGTTGGTAATGCTCGCCTGGTGGGGTCCTCAGTTGGTAACACAGCCCTTCCGACATGAACATATTTACATCTTCAGAATCCGAACCGTTCACATTGTGAGGGACCGTATGTGCTTGTGGAGAAGTGTTCACTTTCAGCAACCCCTCGGTACCCGATACCGTTGGGGCGAGGCTCCGTATGCCTCCATCGAAAGCGCCCTCCGAGAAATCTCCCCCCGCCATGGGTCGTTGTTACACGGCTTGAACAAGAAGAGTGCTGAAAGGGGAGCACGTACTGCTGGTACTTCGGTGTCTAGGCTCCCCTTGCGTACCTTGTCAAAAGCTTGAAAAGCATCGGCGATAAGTGCCTCGGCGACCTCCCCCTGTATAGGAGCGGGCTGGTCCTCGAGGATTACGTGGGTGGCCATGAACACTCGGAATTCTTGGTCTGTCATCGGCGACGGCGATGTTTCCTCTCCGGCTTCCGTGTATGCCTTCGAAGATACAAGTTGTGTTTCATGATAATTAGGCCACAGAAAGGGAGGGCGGATAGAGAACAAGGTTCGTCACAGCCAATGCTAAAGCGGACTTCCATCGGGCACAGATACCGACGCCCATCAACGTAAGCAGGAAGGTTGAAACAAGCGCACGTTACAACCTCACCGCCATCACTACCTCCACAACTACATCGCCATCACAATATATCCTATTCGCGGTACTCACCTCATGAGCATGAACGAGAAGAACAGCTCACCGGTTCAAAGGGCGAGACGTAGTCCATGCACAGTAGACCCTGTGGCGGAGGCACCCAACCGCCTCCCTTAGGATACACGAATGGGTTCCCGTCTAGCGTTCCGTTCCTGAAATTGTCCCAGTCGCCGTTCTAGAGGAAACAGCAGCAGGCAGCATTTCAGGACTTTCGTGATCAGTGCTCCAACAAACGGCATCCGATGAGTCCCTGAGATAAAACAGATACGAACGTGACCGTCCACATTACAAGGCGGCGCTCGAACTGTCAAGCCAAGCAGGAAACCAGAGCTGCCAAACGCAGAACCGCTAGACCGGCTATCGCGTCGTTTCTTTCTCGGATTTTGGTTTGGTCAGCGAATCACGAAATAATGCGCACGAGCTACGCACGAGCGCTGTAACCCGACGGTTAGCAGTTTGACGGAACTTGCAAAACGCCAAAGTTCTCAATACGCACATTTTGGCGTCGACCTCGAACGGGCCTCATCGACATGGTCATAAGGTACTTTGGCGGTGCATCTAGTATGCGATCCAAACGAGAGAGAAGCACCACCCCCGGAACGCATGCGTGCATTGCTCTTCTTCGCTCTCTCTCTCTCTCTCTCTCTCTCTCTCTCTCTCACTTACTCTCTATCTCTATCTCTATCTATCTATCTATCTATCTACCTATCTACCTATCTATCTCCACCCCTCTTTCACCGACCTGACTGACGTCCTTCATTCCCGCCAGCTGAAAAACACTTCTCTCCATCATATTCAACTGACGTAGATGCGAAGGATTCAATATCCGGAGGATACCCCGCCATGGGGCGGGAAAAAGAGGAAACGATATGGTTAGTCATGCCTAATACACCTACTCCTCCGGGCGCTCCACACGTGCTTTCAATACAGATACGATCTACAATGCCGAGATCATGGAAATGCATTAAACTTTCTTCTTTGGGACTCGGGTCTGCTATGGTGTGCATATCTCTTGAGTTTGCTGGTCTAGACCGCTGCAGCCACGACGGCGAGCCTCAATAAGAAAATGAATGTCGTGCCTCAGGAACTATTCGCCTTTTTTCCAGGACGAAACTCTGGGTCACTCACATCCGCCAGTCTGGTTGCCGCCAGCCGCTCGGCAGGGATTCCTAGCCGGAGGCGGTAGCGGCAGGTGGGGTTGCTCGAGCTGAACCACCTCAAGAACGATCCCATACACCCGATGTGCTCAACCTTGGGGGATAAAGATGAGACAGTTGAGTTGGCTTAACAAGGCCGTCTCCATTGTCACTTTGGTTGACCTGCAGGTGAGAGCGCAAGGCAAGCCCTTGACGAATATTTACTGATCTACCACAGCATTTGTACGTCTAACGCAACCTTCTACGGGAAGGCATTGAAGGAGATGGTACGTTTGTTGAGTACACGCGGAGTAGCGCATTATAAGGAAGAGATGGATCGAACAGCGCGGGTCGCAGAAACACAAATAAATGCAACAACAGCGTAGTCGTAAAACACTCAGCAAAGGTCGTCAAGTTACCCATCAGAACCAAGTCGTGAGGAAATAGAACGAGGAAATTCGACTCTACTAGGGCAACCAACCAACCGATCTAGCCTGCACAAATTCACCAGACCAAAGGAACACCTTTTCGCGCTCGGTGGATGACAGCGCGTCCAGATATTTCTCCGCATCTTCCGTTCGAGGGTTATGTCGAATCAGCGCCGCCGCTACCCCAGCCCTCGTACAAGCACTGGAGGATGTGAGTTCAGCACAACGCGTGGGCCACGGAGGGTGGGAGGGCGCTAGGAACGGAAACCGGCAGCCTCTATGGCGCCGAGATGATAGGTAACATGATGGGAATCTTGACGATCTTCACTGAGTGTTTTTGGGCTCCGCCGTCGCGTTGTTTTGTGTTTCTGCGACTCGTGCCGTTCGGTTGCTCTCTCGCTGTAACCATATGCACTCTATCCTTCACAGACAAATGTATCAATCTGCTCAACCCCGCAGCCCTCACCCCTCCCCGTCACTCCCCTCATTCAATTGCCGGGTTTTGACTGTTGCGCTCTTTCGACGTACCTGAAGGCCGAAAGGATGGCGTGTCCTTGCGCGAGCGTGACCGGATGGAGGCTCATGATCGTTTCCGCCAGCTGCACGCCGACGAGACTGTCCACACCGTCGCCTCCGGCTTCGATCTACCAAAGGGCCGGGAATCGTGTAATAAATAACACCGCACGCAAGAGCGCTGAAGATCTTTGGAGTTTGGAGAAGGTGGTTCCGCAACTTCAAAACACATTGCCGGATGTGACCTAACACCTTGCGGAACTTATTTTCGGAGCTGGTGCTTAGCTGTCTTCTTGGGCGACGGCAATGGTTGTTGATGGCGGTATTGCGTACCAAACGTATAGTCTTATCCCTCTTGAGCGGAAGCTTTGAAACAAGCTTAACCGACGACAAGAGTGGATGCCTCGACCGGTCACGAGACATTCTCCAAGCGCGTTGGGAGTATAAACAGCAGCTGCAGGCTCAACTGCATCACCGCTTTTGCTTTGCGCATGCCGCCTCACCAGCTGCTTCCGTGTCAAACGTGCAACACGGCGCTTTCGGAAAATTAGGCCTTTTCGCGTTCTTCATTGCAGTTCTCTTGCCTTCTGAATAGCGGCTTCCACGTGACCATCTTTCCAGGCGGGAGGTAGGACGGGACGGTTCGCCGCGAACGTCAGCTCTAGGACCCCGGAATCGGGTAGCTCGAACAAACTTGGAGCTTCCGTGGGAAACGACAACGCCTAAATAAATTTAAGTTTTGGAACGACGCAGGTGGGGGCGAGATCCCAATCAATCCATTAATTGCTATGTGGTCCTGGTCGCTGCTTGCTTCTTCTTCGGTATCCAGCTGGTTCAACCGCCAGGTCCCCCCCTAGACCCTATTAGTAGGTTGCACCATTACTCCCCTCCTCACCTTCTTGTTGAGCTTCGATTGAACCCAACACTTGCCAGACTGGGTGCTGGCCAGCCTCTGCAGCCAACGGGCGACGTGTCGATCGAGCGCGTTCGACAAGTCCAGCCTGTCGAATTCAGGCGCAGTCAGATGGGAAGGGAACGAGCGAGGCTCAATTCAATCTCAAAGGCTTGAGCTCCTTTGGGACTGTACCAGAGTGGCCAAGCACGACGACTGATAGATCACTATTTCGTTTGAACCAGAAACTGGTAACAGACGGCGCGTGCGGGTGGTCACACCTTACCATAAATTTGTGGCGTGCTTGCCCCTCTCCGTTCACCCCTCTTGCCCCTTCCCAAATCCCCTGAAAACTCACGTGTATTCCCCGTTGGGCGACGTTGGGTCGAACGCCGACGCGTTGACCGCCCTGTCGACCGACCCGCCGTCGGGCGCTTTCCTCGCCAAGCAACAATGCGCCATGTCAACGGTCAGCCAAGCCCCGTTCCCTCCGCCAACGCAGCTGTCGGTATCCCCGCTGTTCTCACGGCTCGGTACGCTCCTCTTGCTCGTTTGGCTGTTGTTCGTGCTGCTGCTGCGGCTTCCGTCGCTCCGCCCCCCCGTGCTTTGGTAGCGATCTGCTTCTTCGCCGTCGTCGGCCCCGCCGCTGTTGTTGCCGTTTGAGCCAGGTTCCCGTCTCCGTACAACACCCATTGCCAGCAGCAGCGCCTGGGCCCCGAAAGGACCGATAGCGGTGCCGTCTACGCCTACATGTCTGAAAGGAAGGAACCCATGAGCGGGAGGCACGAAAGCGTGGGCGCCAAGAAAGGCGGAGGCTAGCTGGCTAGAAAGTTCGGCTGGGTGGTAGGTCAATGCGCCTCGTCGGTTTCAAACTATCATTGACAAGCTTCCAACCCCTCGGGGTCGTGTGATGCTTGCTGTGAGGAACCTTAATTTCCGCTCAAGAGATGCGGACCCCGGGTTGGAATAATCGATGTGGTGCTAAACCTGTCCATAGACGCCTCTGAGCCCTGTGAAATGATAGCAATTAGATCCTGCGCACGTTTCGTCAGTCACTCCCAATCTCGACCAGATCCTCGCCAACCTCCGAGGATTGCACAGCTCTCAAGTGGGCCCAGCGTTCGGCTACACATGAATCTGACGCCAGAAAGTCCTGCCTCCAAGTCTGGTGCGGAGGGCACGACTTGCCAACCGTAAGCCAAACCCGTGCTAGGACGTTGTGGAGTCAGAGCCTCACGAGTGGCCCACAATCCAGGTGGTAAAGACACGGTGGGCAGCCTCAAAAACGTAATCAATGGGGCACTACTTACAACCGCTACCTTGTGCAGGCATGAACGAGCCTGGGTGGTCAAATTTTGGGTTATTGGCGGACAGGTCTTGGCTTGCTTTGTTGACTGAGTCCAGGCAAAATGACTTCTGCTGTCACACAAACCTGATGCCATAATTGCTTTCTAGCAGCACCTCCGATAGCCGCAAGCAAGCCTCTTCCCCCAGCCCCGCGTAGCCCAGCTCTACCCTGGTGAGCGTTTGGTTTTCCTTGAGTGCTTCCACGAGGGCATCGGCCACCTGTTTGCGGGCGTGTTTTCATCGCGCCGAGAATTGGCGAGATATTGTGAGACGTACAGACCTGTTTTTCTATTCTACGGCAGGAGTTGAATGGGCTCGGTTCGCCTGAACGCTGCTCAAGGCTCGTGAAGGGTACTTTGCGTCCTGTGGAACCTGGTTTGAGGTGGGCGACAAACTGCACACATGAATTGCGATCAATATTGGTTGGGAATACAGAGTTTTGGGAGGGAGTGCATCACGAACTACATGGTTGAATCCCGCAGAGGGCGGCGACTTGAAAGAAGTTCGGGTTATTACGGTGAAGTCACACGGATAATCACAGCCCAGAAAATTGTTGTAGATTACTGACCGCTAGGCTAGTGAGTTCTCGAAACACGGCTTCACCTTTTCTTCGGAGAGACTGTTCCACCCCAAATCGAACGTTCGCAGACTGGAGTTGACAGCTAGCGCTTGAATTATCATAGCCAGCTGCTGCGATGGAAGGAATGAGCCCACCGTTGTCATTTGGTTGTTGGCCGTACGGGTTTAATGCTTTTTGGTCATCCATTTTACAAACTGAGAGACTGTTAAAGACGTGTACACCGTGCGAAGGGCGCGTTCGACGTGAAGAAATCAGGCACAAACATTGTGCGTCAACGACGAATTAGACGACCACGACAAATAACCGACAGAACGATATTAACCACAACACTACCAGCAACAGTAATCCCCAGAGGGATATCTCGCCTGTTGTCCGCCTAAGTGGTTGTCACTAAGGTCGAGCTCTGTCAGGCTGATGTTCATGTCGATCAGGCTGGCCAGGGCTCTTCCTGCTCCTGAGACGGTGGTGATTACATTCAGCGGTGGAGAAAACGGGTGCAGTGACTGTAGACTATTTACTGCCAGGACAAGTAATGTGCAATTGTTAAGTTTCACTTCAAGGTGGCAGTACCGAACACGCGCTAAGATCGGCCGTATGTGATAAATACCCTCGGCGGATCAGGCGACAGCCGTGTGCAGGTCTGCATCATGTGCGATATTTCGTCCCCGCGAAAGCCATCCACGCGTCGCTCCTGGTGGGATCGATGGGTGAGGCAAAACAACTTTCAACAAGGAACCCGTGGATCGATCCGGATAACCTGATACTGAAGGGAAAAGCAACCCCATCTTCCCAGCTCCGGTTGGTAGGGTGCAGGCGCTGGGTGTTACCAGGTAGGCGTTGGTTACAGTTTCCATCATCCTATGGTTGGCGGGGCGTGAATCTCCTCACCCTCGCCTCCAAATCCATTTCGAGATAAGCAGAGCGATTTCACGCTGGACCGGCGGTCATACATCGGGGGCAAGAGGGCCGTGAGCGCTGCCAAGGACACGCTGCAGCCGCGCAGTCGGAGGATCTTGAGAGACGAAGCCGGGGCTTCCAACAGCTCTACCAGAACAACAAACGAACCGGGCGGAGAGGCGAGTTGTGGATCCAGGCAAGGTTTTGAAGGAGAAAGCGCCGTGGGTGGAACGTTTGGGACCTCCTTCCGAAATCATTTAATCTCAGTTTGAATGAACGCAAAATGTTGAGCGACAAATATCCTTTGGTTAAGTTCCCTTGTCATGAAGCGTTCGGGGGAAAACCCCAGTCGCTTTCGTCGCACTGCTTGGTAGCGCAGATACTCTCCTTGAAATCTGCAACATTGGACGTACTACAGAGCGACGTCTTCACCTGAAAGAACCTCAGCCGTACTCGTTCTCTTGATCTGATTCCCGGAAATGTCGAGGGAAACGAGCCCTCGGCCCTCCTCCTTCAGAGCTTGCAAAATGGATACCATGGCTGATTCTGGCACGCCACAGTCCTCGATGTTGAGTGACCGGAGCGTTGCCACTCGGAAATTCTTCAAGAATGCCGCCAAGGCGAGCGACCGCTTGGGTCCTAACCCGTAGCTGTTGGGACAAAGGTTGCGGCATCGATTTCATCGTGTCGGTGGAAGGATGGGGGCGGTTACCGACGTGGTGCACTTGAACGTGAGCCAAACAGGGATGGGACGTACGAATTTGTGTTGGAGGCAAAGGATGTTTGAATCTCGACGAAGTGTTGTAACGGTGATGGTATGACTGGAGTCACTCGATTCGAGAACGGTGAACGATGGTTTGCGTGGGGAATTTGCAGTCTGCCCCTAGCTAGATATATCGACTAGGTCCAGCATTCCGAAACCCTTGCTGGTCCGAGGTAAGCCACGCCGAACAATTGCAAAGCCGGCGGCTGCAGCAAACGCTTAGCAGGTTGGGGTTGATTAGTCTTGCGGTAGGCGCGTGTCGATATGTGCGGTACAAAATAGGGTGAAGGGTCAAAGATCGACAGAAATACAGGACAGCGCGTGGTTGTACCACAATCCCCCCTCCCCACCGTAGTGCGAACGCTCTCTACTCCTGATTCGGCAGAGCAATGGATAAAAAGTTTATAGTTTATCCTCCAGAAGGGGGGAGATTGAAAAAGTTCCCCCATTCTTCCCCTTGTCCTCACCACGTTTTGTGACTTTGGCATGGCTGCCAAGAATACTACGCTTTGAGGCCCTCAGTGAGTGTGAACCAACTAACGCATGTACCTTAGCCCATCCCCCCTTAGTCCGGCCGGCATGTCGCTAAACGTTGACGTGCCCCAGGCCGAGAGGAAGGCCAAAACACATAAAAACAAGTTGTCACCCTGCTTCTCAACGTCCTTTCTCGAGGGGTTAGATTATATTCAAGGAAAGGGTGACCCCTTGGGGAACAAAAAGGATCTTACCTCCTGAGATCTAGATCGAAAAGTGGTATACTGTCTAAGTCTTCCCCTGCGTCTTCTGCTGCCGCAACAGAGCAATTTCCACATTTGCTTCCGAAGGCCAGTAGTTGGTCGAAAACTGGAATGGGAGACAGAGAAAGCTCGGCGCACGCCCTGATATATTCTGTTCTAGACGTGACAGGCCGTTCTCTCAGGTCTCTCTCCTGGACATACACGTGTCGGTTGGCATGATGTGGGGCCTTACAAGTCAGTCATAGGGAGGCGTTACGAGTGATAGGGAAGTACAGGGACGCTGACAACTTCCTTCGTAGTTATCGAAAATGATCGTTGCTAGAAAAATATAAACTGTAGGAGGCATCGCAGATGCGGGGGGAGGGGGTCCGCGTGGCTGCACATGGCCGGCTACTCTTTTCGCGCAAACGATAACGGGAACCAACGAAAAGGTTGCGGACATTCTTGTGTGTCGACATCTCCTCGACACCACGATTGTGCAAAGTTCCAGAACACGCTTGGTCTCTCTTGAATACCGACACGCCAGCATAACGGACAGATAATCGTTGCACACTGTAACGCTTCCTGGGAATGAAGTAGTGCTTGACCTCTCAACTTTCGAGGCTCATTTACCCGACCATGATGACCATTTTGTCTTCAAGGCAATCAAAGCTACACTCGCTTTTTTTCGGAATATCGGGCCAGGGCACTGTTCTGCATCGTTCCAAGTTGGTGCTGTTCCACACCTCGATCGGTCACACGTACGTGGAAAATGCTGAAAATGTTGCTGCTGTCGAAATGTGATGCTGACATTGGTCTCCGTTGTTGCTGGAACTCCACGCCGTCCTTGTGGTCCCCCGCGACAACGTGCCCCTCTTCTCCTGCTGCGGGGGCTGTGCTCATCCCCGACACCTCCGGCTGCAAACATCCGTTTACGCCAAGTCGGTTGGGCGGCCAGAGTGTTACCGGTTTTTGATTCGGCGAGGTGAGATCGAAACGCACTTCAACTACCAGATCCGAATGGGTTAGACAGCCTCACCCCTTCCACCGTGTCGTCCCCGACTGGAAGCCGTCCATTGTTCGCCCCTGCTCCTCCTCCCCCACCAGCCGCCTTCCCTCCTCGCCCCTTGACCCCGTCCTGAGCAGCCGCCCGCATACCCACAGAAGAAACGAGGGAATCAGCTTGCTTTAGATCGCCAGTCACCGGCATTAGAAGATGGCGGGTCTTCCTCGTCATATCCTTTCGCACGCTGCACGCGTTGGCGCTGCTAAAGCGCGCCTTTCTCGCCGTGGCAGCCGGCTGAGAGGGTTTCATCAGCGCCAGATCGAAATCTTCCACTTCCGCTGCCGTGCAGACGCCAGTGGCCGGGCCCTTCGAGTCTAAGTCGTCGCCCGCGTCGTCGAAGTATTCGGCTCCCGAACAGCTCTTTCAAAGTTGAAAGTGTTACATTGCAAGTGGCGGGGGGGTACACGCGGTGGAGTCATGGTGTTCCTGACAACACATGCAAGGCCGCTATAGCCCAGTGCCCTTCCGTGACCTGCTACTAGGTAGTATTTCCTCTTGAAAAAAAAACGCAACAAAGCTGCAGGCCTCCCCAGGTGCGACTGATGGCCGACTTCGAGATGCTACAGTACCCCCATAATTCCTTCGGGGATGAAAATACCTACCTATTGTGCCTGTTCGAAACATGTGTACCCGGTCGCCATGGCTTGGAGCACGGTCGAAAGCGTTGGACAGGCGGTTTCGTTCTAGAGGTAAGCAGTGGTACTCGATAGGACGATCAAATATTTCGTTGTCCTGTCACGTGGAGATACGCATGAAGATGTCATCATCGTCCCTTACAACCTCCACATGGTAGAAGTGAAAAAACATTGCAGCTATCGAATTCCTCACAAGCCCAAAGTTAGCGTGCCCTTCCTTCAGTTCCTCACATGATGCGACAACATCGGGCACTTTCTGTTCTCTACCGGGGCACGTTGCGTAGCATATGGGGTCCATGTGCGGCGCTCGGCGCTGAGGCTGGAAGCTTTGATCTCTTTCGGAGATCAAGGCCAACCGTCCTCCGTTCACTCTAGTGAGAGGCTGTTTAAACGTTCCCTTTGTCACCTGTTGCTCTGGCCTCGACCCCGTGCGTGAAGACCTTTCCCCTTGATCGGACATGCATGCCACTGCTTCGTCACTTGAAGGCCGGCCTCCACTTTCGACGGAAGCAATGCCTACCGCCTCGGGCGTCAGAGGCCGGCGACTCGAAGGCAAGTCGAACTTGTTCGGTGCACGACGAAACGCAATGGAGGTGCTAATTGGATGGTGGGCGCATATATCGGCGGAAGGCTACAAGGTGGCAGCTTTGAACTACTTCTGCTGCAAACAATGACACAACACGGATAAACAAAAAAAAACTGTGAACGGTGAGAGCCGTGGCAGCGTCCATATTTAGCATTGTCAAGTAGATCGGAACGCGAAGAATCGTCGCCATGAGACTAGCGATATCGCCACACCTCGCGCGCTAGGTCTTGAAACGTCTTGAGTGCCAGCTCGTACGCCCGTTTCGTCCCGTTAGTCCCTCGAGGAAAGAATACCTCGGGGGACTTTTTGTCCTCCGGCTTCCGCACTTCTTCATTGTCGCCGCGGTCCACATCTTCAAAGCTGTTGGGGGAAACGTTTCAAGATGCAGTGGTTGTATCGTTCTGTGACCGAACGGCTGACCACGGTGTAAGGGGCGCGGGAAGATGGAACACCCACGTCAAGAGCTGTTATCTTTTAATTTGTTGGTCCTGATCCGCGTGACCCTGTGATGTTTTGTTTTGAACCTGCATTAAAAAGTTTTCGGCTTTGAGTTTCTGGTCATAGCAGATGATGTCTGAATGTGGTCTCAGCATTCGATTTGTCCTATAGGGGCAGCCTCAGCTCTCTCAGGAGACGTACCACACCCTAGGAGAAGGAAAGCCGGGAAAAGTGAATATTGCTGTTTGCATCAACATTCGAACCTGATGTCGGGCTAACACTATACAATATCACGTTGAACAGCACAAAAGCACGAGTAAACGCAACGAATTCGGAACACAGACATTTTTTTGCGCTTGATTTATCCGCAATATAGATCCAACCTCAGTATCACCCTCTTCCCCTTCCAGAACTTAGGGTCCAAAGCAGATGAAAGAAGGGAGATGGTGGTCTCTGAAGCTACGTTTTTCACCCCGATCCGCTCCTTTGGCAAGGCACAGATGGGAACTTTGAAGCACTTCGGTCGAAAACAGGTGGCCTTCACACACAATCTGGCCGACTACCCGACCGCTTACCTCGCTGGAAAGCCCGAAGCTTGAGATTGCCCGCCTTTTCCCCGTCCGTGTCCATCTTGGTTCCCTCGATGATTATGTTCGGCCCCGTCCTCTCCAAATCTGCCACTTGGGGAATAATATTTTTCACAGAATCGCTTTTCTGTTGGTGACATCCTTGCAGAGCAACCCTACGGATGTTATTATTCATGCTAAACTGCTTTGCTTCTAGCGCTAGGACGTCCAGAAATCCACTGACTTTGGTCGCGGCTTGGGTTTCATTGGTGCTACAGCGGGAGATCAGCCCGTGGTGAAGGTTCGCGATGGCTAGCTTCCGGAGAAAGGTTCAACGCACCAGGTGACCACCAGCAGCCTACTACAGCAGTAGCAGTTCTATGGAAATGCGTGTCTAGGACAGTCCTTGAACGGCTTTCTGTCCGCGATGAACAGAGTGAAAAACATCCCCACGCGATCATCGCCGATAACAACACCGTCCAACTACAATATACTAGCGTACATACAATACATTTCCGTGCTGTGAAGGAGTGTAGCATTTTCTTCATTTATTTCATGCCTGCTGAAGAACGACCACGTCCTAGACACTCAGCAGCATCAGCTTCGATCTGGGGCGGTAATGCGTCATAGAAGCTCAACATGTATTAGTTTCGATCTGGGGCGGTAACCACTGGGTAGGAACCTCAACTTTGCACTACATATGACCCACTCTATGTACCACTGTTCATGAGCGTTCTTCGCACTCCAGGCGATGCCAGCTCAACCTCGCAAACGTGGAGTTCTCGGTATCAAGCCTTGCTTCGAAACGCTTCATTCATAGCCGCAAGGTGTGTGTTCATCTTCACCAACTCCAAGTACAAAATCACACTCACTCGCTTGCGCTGAGTCCACCACCCTTAGAGGTTACAAAGCCCCCTCCATTGGCCCTGGGAAAGCCTATGCTTCGTAGCCTCTCTATGCTCTTGTGGTTAAACCTCGTATGACGCACGGCGGAACCCGGTGGCGGCTCCGTATGAGTTGGTGCTGGACGTCGCGGGGATAAACTCTTCGAGTTTCGCTCTCGAACAGGGCGCTGAGGAGAGACCACTACCATCGTACCGTACCGGAGGTTAACTACTGTCTGGGTTGCGCCACAGAGCTAACTTTCACCAACGACAACCTCAGAGAAAGTTAGACATGCCCGGGAAGACTGCGTCTTGCGCCCTCTCAAACCACGCATAAACGTTCACGTGTTCAGGGCCTGCCCAGAAATCGTCGACGTTGCCTGTACCACAATTCAAAAACCGGGATGCCGAGAGTCGAGATAATGTGTAGAATGAGAAAGGGAAGAGATATGCAAAGCGCGGAAGTATTCATGTCAGCAACTCAGCTGCTCACCAGCAAAGCTAAAATGCTAAATATGTCGACTTTTTGAGTTCCCTTTCGGGAGAACCAAAATGTAATCTCGCCGCTCCGGGGATGTTGAATCAACCACCCCCGATTTTTGCCAGCGCAAAGTTTTTTTAATACTTCGCATTTCCGTTTGCCCCGCCCATTCCCCGCAACCCCGCAGCCATCTACAGCCATCTCAAAACACGCGACGGTACGGAGAGCATACCACACAAAGGTATCAGGTCAGATAAGTGGCCTCTGCTGAGGTGATGGCCATTTGCCGAAGGCATGCGGCCTGGTCAGTCGCGACCCTCACGGATGGACTTGTCACAAACTTCATTGTTCCCATGGGCCCTCTCCTGCTGGTGTCGCATCTGGAGTTTGTCCATCCCTACCTCAACACGGCAGAAGGTGTTGATACTCTCCAGGCACAGGCGCATAAGGATGGCATGGTCGATGAGGTTTCGATGCACTGGGCTGTCGTGGCGAGATTGTGGAGCCAGGTATGCGGTGGGAGCAGGGCAATGACCCCAAGAGACTGCCGTTCGTATTTTTTGGGGTGTGGAAATAATTCTTCTTCAACCGTTGCCACCAAACGGAAATGGTGGTGTGTGAGCACGTGAGCACCCAGCTGTCAAGCCTGTTGTGTAGTCAAACCCACAAGTTGCTGTTGCCTGTTTCCCGGATGGCCTGCCTCTGCAGCTCCAAATACCGGACACAACATGCACCCGCACACAGTATTTTCCATCGAACAGCGATCGGTGCACTGGCGTGTGGCAAGTGCCTTGCGCGTTTGCTCGATGGATTTGCACACTTTGCACTCTGTGTGGTAATTCGAAGAGAAGACGTACGGCACAGCAGCTGTACTGCTGGACGTATGCAAGTAAGTCGGTTTGCCTTCCCTCCCTCTCGCACGACGCACACGTACCTGTTAAGGAACTTGTGTGACCTTCGTGGCCTTGCCGTAAACTGGTACTTCGAAGCCATTTTTTAAGTTGTTGGGCGGCCGAACGAGAATGGTACCGGTATACCGTAAATGCCACAAGATGACACACCCCCTGGACCAATTTTCAAAGCTCGATTACTCCACGACGAAGAGGATGCATAAACGAAGCGATACATTTTTGGAAAGCTCTCGACCAGACGGTTCCAACGCCGCCGGTTTGGGCGCCGTGACTCTTTCTCTTGTTGAGAAATCGAGATTTGAAAATCGGTCCATGGGGTGTGTTAGCTTGTCTCATTAACGGTATCATGTAGCTTTTGGCGGGATTGTCGCACAATCGGGGTTGTCGCACGGAAAACACCCACCAACCCCGCTCGATCGCGACATGCCGTTAGGTATTGCAACATTGCGGCTCCTCTCGTGAATTTCGAGCAAATTGCGCGCCAAATCGGTAGCGGCAGCGAGTAGTTACAGCCTTCATTTCATGTTGGGTGGCATGGCATTGCCAGGATCCGGATTCTGCAGCTGAGAACGGCTGACGAAAGGTTCTGCAGAACGAAGGTGGAGAGAAATTTACTTAAGTTCCACAAACTGCTTGATGCCTATCCCACGAGACATGTACATAGACTGCACCCTACAAGATTGCACAGCAAAGAAGCACTATTCATGTTCGTATCATAGCTCCGTAGCATAGCTCCGGGAGAGTACAGTAACGAGCTGCAAATTGTTGAAAACATTTGGGTGTCGCAGTGTTTGTCGTGTTTATCCTGCGGCAGGTCTGCCATCAGGGCTTCGCGTCTTTCTGCACGAGACCGCGAAATCGTTAGTATCCACCAGGATGGCGGAGATATCTGCCTAGCATAGAAATATGCGTAGCACCGGGCTACTGCAACACATGGGAATACGATGGTAAAGTCAACATCACCCAAGAAAGAGAATGTGGAAGCAACGAACAAATTCTAAGCAGGCACAAAGAAATCATTTTCGTCACGCTATCCCCGCCGGTCAACACTCACTGGAGGTTTGTCACCGAAGGTTATGAACTTTTCAGGTGCACCATCCCTCCCGCCTTCATTCCCATCCCCCCCCCCCCC